CTTTTTCAAGAATGCGATAGGAGGAGTTGTTGATGAAGCAATAAAGTTGGTATATGCTGACACCCTTCCAAACCATTTCAGTGCTCAATACTGAAAACCTGTAAGAATGTAAATGTTTTTAGACCTATAAAACTTTTCTCTGACTCTACCTTTTTCCCAGTCTGATGTGCAGGTGCTCTTTAAAGATGCCACCCATTTTTGCTCTCTTACTAGATGGAGAAGCCACCTTACATCCTTCATCATCAAAAGCCTTTAATTCTGCATTAACATACTGGTAGTTACAGAGAGATTTTATTTTCATTATCCCTTTCACAGTGTCTTTAGAATATTTATTCTTCCATGCTCTCATAATTCTGAGTACCCAGTCTGAGTCATGTTGAAAATGTATAATTTTCCAGAAGCTGTAGACATACGATTATCTTGATTCCTGCCTCTTTTGACATTTCCAATCGTCACCCAAAATCTCTATGGTGTTGTAATGATCATGCTTTTATGTAGCATCTTGCAGATTACAAGGCTAATATTACCATTTCTCTTCTTCTCTTACCATTTCTCTGCTTCCCTCCCCAAATATGCATTGAAGAGAGAATTCTGAAGGAGTAAAATAACCTCCAACAGCGAAGTCTAAAAGCTCCTCAGGCTGCAAGTTTCCTGGGACATGGGATAAGTTGGATGTCCAACTTTCCATGCCACATCAAGGCAAAGAACTGAGTCTGGGGCCATATCAGAGGTGAGGTCTCTCACTACCAAGCTCCTGGAAATAATGTGAAGTCTTCTCTGTGTAGCCGTGTGTGCATGGGACCTGAAGAAGTATCCATATCACCATGTGTGTTGGCCAAAGGGCTATAAGCAAGCAAGGTTTTGCATTTTAACACAAATTTATGTGCATGTGTGTTTCCTTCTTATTTAATTAACAAAAGATCCCTACAAAGACTATCATTCACTTGCTGAGACCAACAGAGGTATGTAGTGACAAATTCATGATGAAAGAAAATGAACAGAAATATCCTGGGTGAGAAAGAACTCTGAAAGAAGTGCAACAGATTTCCCCCATCCTGGTCTTTATGACAAATAATCTTCATTACATCAGAGCAACTTCTTTTTTTCTCTACCATGGAAAAATCAGAAAAACAAAACACCCTCCAAGTAAGCACAACGAAAAATGCACACATCAGACATGAAGGTTGAAGGTTGTTGGGAACTTCGTCTGGAGGGGGTATGTTGGATTTGATACCTGAGAGAGGTTTTTAAGAGAATGATAAAGCCATCAAGTATTACTAGAATGAGAGGAGTCAAGATTCCCTTAGAGTGCCCTCTGCTTTCTGACAGTTTTGTCTAGAAATATGTTATGGGAAGCTATTCTAATCATCAGACTGAGAGCAGGATGTGAAGATGCCACTAATGAGAACATCCACCAATAATCATATGCTAGCAGACTTGCAATCATTTAAAGAACTCATTAATCTAAAGAAAATACTTAGAAAGAAACTTTCATAATTAGAATTGGTAAGCAGCCAGCTTTGCTAAAATGAGAGAGTATTTCTTCTTTCTCTGGTTTGACTCAAGACACCTTGATGGATGACAATGCCTTTGATGGAATGAAATATTCTGCAATAACTTTGGGTAGAGCTAAGCTGACAATGACATTCTTTAAAACGCCTGTATTTCACAGAGCTTCTCACTAAGATTTCGACAGGTAAACAATACATGGTTGCTGATTTGCCTCTGGTGAGCTCCCATTGATAACAAATGGAGGAAATGAAGTATACTGCATTATGTTTGTGTCTCTTCAGAAAGGTGGTGTGGTTCTCAAAACAATTTATCATCTCAGCAAAACCTTCACTAACATTAACTGATGTCTGAAAGGGAAAGGCCCTAACACAACAGCTCAGCAGAACAAATAGAGCAGAGTTTGCAGCTTACAACTTTCTTGAGAAAGGGGTATCTTTAAAGGATGTTGCTCTATCTGCAAGTGTTAATTTAACTGCTTAAGGGGGCAGGGTATGAGAGAGTCTTTTCCCTCAGCAGCTGTGTGCAGCACCTGTTGTTTTGCAAGGGATCTACATTCATCTGAACTTGTGAGTAAGCACTCTTTGTTTTTATAGAAGGATTTATAACTCCTTTTAAGCTATACAGGCCAAAAGAGAACTAACAAATAAATAAATAAACAGTAACCCAAAAGACAATTATGACCAAATGGGCTCCTTGCTGCAATGGCAGCTTCAGTCTGTTTTTTGTATTACGAATAGGTATCTCCTTCTGGGCCAATGCCCACTGGAAGTGGGGGAAACAAAGTAGCAGTGGAAAAACAAAGAACATGTTAAATGTTTATGTATATTAGGAGGCTTCCAGAGAACTCCTGGGAGCTAACTGATGGAAAGCAAAGCACTGAGACCATTAGCAGCACCCGTTATCCCACCACTCTTTCAGCAGCACGTGGCAATTGCAGAAATTACTTATTTACACGGTGAAGTAGCAGCGAACACTCATTACACAGCACTTCCATGCAGGCACATTTTGCACCATCTCTCAGGTGACACATACTTGCCTAAGCTGTCGTAGCTGGTCATCCTGCACTTTCACTGTATTTTCCCACACTTTTTAAGGGTCTCTGAAATGACTGATGGAGGAGCACAGACCTGAATACACTTTGGCACCACAATGCCTGAATCTACTTATGAATTCACAGCCTCATCTGCTGCCTCAGTTGCTTACTGATCCACATAATTTCTGGCCTTCAAAAAAGATAAATTACTTTTATTACTGACTTATTTACTTTTTGTTGTTTCATTTTGGATTATTCTAGGTTCAGAGTTTTTCAGTATTTTTAAAGGTGTGGTGGTCGTACAGTGTCATTCCCAGTGGGTTCACAGTCAGATCTGGTGGACAGTCACAGACGTGGGCAGTAAGCCACAAAAACAGGAAAGTGTATGCACTTTTAGATAAATGCACGGTGAAATTTAGTGAATTTTAAAGGGAAAAAAAGTTATTCTGAGCCCTGATGATGTTTTGAGAAAAACAACATTTCTTTCGGGGTAAGATTATTTTCTAATCCTGAGACTGGAAATCCACATGACAGAAGATATGAACTCCATTTTCCAAGTGCTTCTGCTGCAAAGCTTAGCTGCTATTTCAAGTAAATATTCTTTTCTCTTCAGCTGCTATGTGAAAATGCAACAACAAAATAAGGGATGAAATCAAGAGAAACAGTGAGCTACACACAAAAAGCTAAGAAATATATACACAATGTAGAATCAAATGGACTTGATGATCTTAAAGGTCTTTTCCAACCTATTTGATTCTAAGATTCAAAACTCTGATACAAAATTTCTGTTATATTTTATTCCTAAACTCAGCATCACTTTTAGTAAAGACAAAACTGGAATAAAGGTTGGGTTGTTTTTTTTCCTAAAAGACAGTTCTTCCTCTTTAACAGAAATAATAAGGCAAACATCATAGCAGGAAGTAATGTATTTGGGCTAGAAGGGAACTGTGCTTCCTGTATTTAATGGGTTGTTCCTCATTGCAATCCCTTCTCAGAATCAACAGGGCCATATGGCAAAGAGGAAGAAAGGAAAAAGCCATCTCATATGTTTTAATGATAGTTTGTTCAACATCTTGCAGCTCCTAGGCATCTCATAGGCATGGTCTTTTATAAATAAAATTGTGCTGGCATATTTTTATTATGCTATGACTCATGAAATTTGTATCTGCAGGGAGCTGGAGACTTTAGCTTTTCCTCTGGACTTTCCAGTGCTGTCTGCTGGGTCAATTAAAATATCAAGATTTCTTTTCACACAAAACCTTTTCTCTCCCTTTGCTTATTCGAAGTGTTTCACTCACATCTCCCCTGCACAACCTCATCACTATTGTAAATCACAGCAAATTAATGTTGATGCTGGTTCCTGAAGCAAGACTGCTTTTGCCTCTTGACAACAAAACCCCTAAGACAAATGTCAAAAATTCAAATGGAAATACAGTATTAAAAACAAATCTGTTGACATCTCCTGATAAAATCCTGCAGATCTAGGCTGATGCAATGCTCCCTAGCTGACCCTTGGAATAGAAATAGCTTCTAATTCTTCATCTTGCTAAAGACTGTATGTTGGGCAATAAAGAAGTGAACAGAGGTTATGGCTTCCATAAAATATTCACACCAGTGGCTCTTCATACAGAAGTTTCTCCTGAGAATGATTAATCACATGCTATTATTTGAAGTTCCTATATCGTGGGAGTTCATGCTTCACTACCATTCACAGACTGGATTACAGAAAATTAGTTTCAGACAAACTGTTTGGTTCAGGTAGATTAGTCCACTCCAATTATGCCTATCAGCCAATTGAACTCTTTCTTCAAACAAAATGGCCATGTCCCTGGGGTTATCCAGAAAGTGATAAACTGGGGAGAGTTTCTCTCCACCTGGCAGTAATTGTTCTGCAAGTGCTCTTCCCTTACTTGTATCTAAGACAGACATTTATCCTGCTATTTAGTATAATTAAAGCATAGATACTAATGTAAAGCTCCTACCCAGGGAGCAGTTGTCTGATGGCGGCAGATTCACAGCATGCACAACAGCTTTAATTTCAATAACATGTTCAGCTGATGAGGAGGAAGAAAAAGGTGACGTAGGTAACAACATCTCCAGGAGCTCAGGATGCATTCACAGCCAAGACAGTCTATGCAAGGGACCAGCACAGGCACTGCCCAAAAGATGTGGTGTCCTTTGGCACTTATGTCTCTAACAGTTTGGATGCGAGAGCTGCTGCATCTCCATAATACAAACAGGAATGATGCTACCCTTGTTCCAAACAAGGGATTTGAGCCCAGCATAAGAGCCACCAGCTATTTGAAGCCGACACTAGTTTATCTCATACATGATTAGAAATTACCAGAAATACATACAGAAACAGGACACCACTACATGAACACTGCTATCCCGTCCAATTAGGATTCCATTAATCTTCCAAGATAAAGGTTCATAGTTTGCCAGCTCAACTTACCTCTTATGATGATATTGGTGGACTTTTTTGCAGGATTTCCAACATTGTTATTGGCGATGCAACTGTATGTGCCAGCATCTTCTGACGTGATGGCAGGTATTGTTAAAGTGCCACCATTCAGCACCGTCTTCTCGGGCAGGATGCCGGCAGACCTCACCCACGTCAGGCTGGGGGCTGGCTCCCCTCCTGTCGTCACACAGACTAAGGTGATTGCTTCTCCAGGGTTCACCACTATCGGGTCATCCACAAGAAGCTTAATAGAAGGTGATGCTGTAAAATACAAGAGGAAGAGAAAGGTGTAGCAGGGCTGCATCTGTGGTATTGCCTAGTCCTGACAAGCACATTCAAGCCAACAGAGATCAGCAAAGGCACATCAGCTACAGTGCTCTTCGCACCAATACGTGTCCTCTGAGCAGGGTGCATCCCCATCCCAATGCTCCCTCTAAAACCACATTTCTCACCCTGATCTGTACCCTGCTCAGTCATCATCCTTCACCTTGCTGTCAAACCGCAGGTGAGGATTTATGTATGGACACCCTTGCAGCTAGGCTTGGCAAGCAATGTATAATGTATGGGACCAGTGCCAGCACACTGGATTTTAAGCCCTGGAAGAAAGGAATTAGTAACAATCTTGTTATTTGGCACAGAAAGCATGTTGTGCTCTTCAAGTCAGACTCTACCCATTGAAAACCAGCCCTCTTAATCCACCCACCTCCCCACTGAACTCCTTGGGACTTGTCTGCCAACTGAGATGGTTTTGTAGGGTTTGAGTTGGGTCTGTTGACTCAGGAAGAGTCACCTCCCCTGGTACATCATCTCCTTGCACATGGAGAAACTGAAGAGTTCATCACAAATGCTTTTTTCGTCTGTATGGGATGTGAAACCTAACAGCACCAGCAGAAAGTGTGGCCACAGCTCCATCTCCTCACAGACACACAAGAAATGTGCAGGCTTGGGTCTCTACTAGTCTGTAGGACACAAGCATAAAGGTGAAGGATTGAAATTTTGAGCAAAGAATACCAGGAAAAAGGGACAATAAAAAAAGAAATAAAAATGTTACAACCAAAAATTGTATCACAATCCTCATTACCACAGAGATATATTCCTATGTGTTCTGCTTTATATATGAAATATTGAGGAATACACACTAATCACTAAAGGCAAATACAAGAGCCAACTACAAAATAAGAGTTTTCTCTATTTGGAGTTCACCCAAAAGGAATTAACTTTCTCTGCACACAAATGGGAAGCATTTCATTTATACCTACACTAGCAAGAGTGAATAGGCAACCTCCAGACAGAAAAGCACTTGAAGAGAGCAGGAGAGCAAAGATTTACAGGCAAAGCCCCCTATTCCAGCTCCTCCCAGTTTGGGACCCTGCAGATAATTCCCAGGTTCATGTAACCAACTTAAAGTTGAAGAAACTGAGTGGATGGCTAAAAATACAGACAGAAAACAAGTCAGCACTGCCTACTGTCAATGTCTCTTTGCTTACATCCTCTGATCTCTCATTCTTTCATCAGTTCATGCATCCATCAGCTGAGGGACCCCTGTCTTGCGATTAGAGGTACAAAACTGGGCAGTATGTCATGTTTCATGATTAAACAGATTTTGCTTAGGCAAAGGTGACAGGACAGAAGCAGGGATGCAGGTACTCACTGTGCAACTAGAACTGAGGTCCAAACCTGTAGGGTCATCACCAACCAGGGCATAGCACTCAGCTGATCCTTCTTTCTTTGTCCTTCCCTCCCTCCTGAGTTTAATGATTTTTCCTGAACACCTCTGGCAAGCAGCTGCTTTCTACTCTCACTAAACATCAAGTCATGAGGCAGGGAACAAGAGAACCACAAATAATGCTTCAAAACTTAGAACAAAAGATGAAAGCTCCAACAATGTCAACCCAACCTTACCATAATGGCCTCATAATCCTCCAGATGAAAGGGGGCCCTTTGCCGTCCTTCAGGTAAAGAGACAAAGACAGCAGCTGATGTGATAAAAATGCTGTGATACATCCCTTTCATCACAGCACTCAAATCAGTAAGTACATGAAAATTACGGTTTGCATACAGCAATTCCTCTTTACTTACACCGCACATTACACTTAACTACAACCTATCTCACTAGACAAACACAAACAAAAATTCAGCAATACACTCAACTATTAAAAGCCAGATCTAAATCAAAGAATATTAAGAAATTCAGAAGAGATATAAAGGTATCCTGCAAATGAAACTCAGTGTAGCATGTAAAGGGTCAAATGCCTATTATGAATGGAATATGGATCCACAGCAACAATGAGATATTATTTTGGTTATTTCTTTGCTTGCAATCCTATACATGTTCTGCACTGTATCGCAATGCATCAGTAACAGAGAACCTCTTATTTTCAGCTTTAGGATGCAACTGAGGACAGAACTCGGTCCCCTGCACAGCTTGCCTCATTTATTGTCATGGGTACATTGCCAAATTCTGGCCTAGGAATGGAGAGACTGGAGGTTTCCGGCTGGTCACTGGGACTTTGTCCTTCCACCGCTGAAGCACACTCAGCCCCATCACCAGCCCCACACTTGCCCATCTCTGACATCATAACCTCCACTCCCGATGTCACCAACATCAACCTCTCCTCCTTCCAGCCAGGGATGAGGAGAGGTGGAACTCAACACCCATCTGCCCACATGCCAAACATGAGTCTGAGACCTGTGACTTTTTGTCACAGCTCTGACTGCCTGTCACAAAGGAAAGGGGAAAGAGAAAAAGAGAGAAGCAGGGAATTAGTTAGCCAGGGAATGAAGGAGACAAATGACAAAAAATCTCAAACCACTCAGTAACTCCAGCGATGTGCTCAGACACAGTGGGGTAGCAGAAAACATGGCTTAACTCCAAGTTAGAGTGCTTGTGTTCACTTCTCTGCATCTGCCTGGATCTACATGTGGAAACGAATGGGGCTAAATCAGAAGTTTAGTCACCTGCTGGAATACCTGTATTAATTGACTTGGGTTAATTAACAGTATGTAACCCTTCTGCAGGTCTGCTTTACCAGATAGCTGCTCTGATTCACTCCAAATTCCAAACTGGAGAAACCTCTAGCTGCTCCCCACAGGATGCTGCACGCAGCAGCCACTTCCCACAGACTGGGGAATACAAAGCTGTAGCAGGGGAAGGAGTAACAAAGGCACAGCAACAAAATTCCAGGTAGCAGCAGGGACAGTAAACCTTGGACTTGGCTGCTCAGGGTTGCTGAAGAATCTTGTTCTTCCAGATTTTCTGCCCAAACACCTGCTAGACAAGGCTTAAGACTAGTTCCTGTTTGAGCTAGGGAACTGGAGCTCACTATCATGTGGGATCTCTCCCTCTTCTAGCTTGAATGGCAGCAAGAGTTACTGACAAAAGGCAATTCCTCTTATCTACCCTGAGCTACCTTCTTGCAAGAATCTTTCCCTGTGGTCCCCATCTCTCTGGTGATTGCAGACAGAGTCCAAAGATTAGTTTAATTTAAAGGTTAAGATTTAGATGGCAGAAGATGGGTGACATCAATCCTACCTTTAGGATGAAGATTTACAAATGCAGCAGGAGACTATAGTTGGGAATGGGAAGAAAGTGCCAATAATCTAAAATAACAATATACATGTGCCAGCCTTACACTGATCCCAGTGTTTTGCAAATCTATTTGATATTTGCACTTTCAGAAAATGTTTTTTTTTTTTGCCTAATCCGCTCTCTAAAATGAATTTATTCTCTATTTGCAAACTTCTTCTCTAAAACAAAATTCTCCTCACATTTATTTGTAAACTTTTGAGGCTAAACACCACATACAGCATAAATCCAAAATGTGTAATTCAGTGTCACACTTTTTTTTTTTTTTCTGGTCCAGCATGATTAAAAAATGGAGTAGGCATTTATAAAGATGACAAGATGATCCAGAGCAATTATAACAGTTGATGATTATACCAAAATATTGTTGAAGGCTATTAAAATCCATGCTTCAGGGCATAAAATGTATCTTTTTTTCCTGGAACAGGAGGGCAAACTATCACGTATCTGTCTACTGCACGCTTTTTATGCGCTCTTCTGAAATGTCTGCTGCTGGCTCTTGTTTAGGACAGACAAGAGATCTGATCCAAAAGGACAGCGCATGTGTTTATACATCCTTTGCATTTGTAGAGCATCTGGCATGACTGAACACTTACTAGGAGACCCATGATGCAGTCACAGCAGTTCAAGCTGTGATATTTGTTTAGATAGCAGGAGATCATGGAATTGAGTCAGAAGGAAGAGGAGATAAAGACACCTCTCACCTCCCCCCACAAAAAAAAAATAAAAAAATCTGACTTATTAAAATGACACTACTGTAAAAGCTAGGACATGCACTTGTGTATTCCTGGTACATGCCTGAAATACGCTGGTTTTGCCTTTACTGCATACATTGCTTTGAGGAATCAGGCTACAGCCACCAAGATACAAGTGGTTTCCCCCAGTGCCATCTACAACTGGGGGAGCAGGCACACAGCTGTGAGCAAAGTTTCCTTCCACTTGTTTATCCAAAACAAGGCTAGAACCAATACTGACATTCTGCCTGCTCAATTTTTGAACAGCACAGGTCACCTAAGCTTTTTGAGGCTTGTGAAAACCATTGCATCCTTACAAACAAGCTTTCACATGGTGCCAAGCAAGAGAATTCAGAAGGATGCATACTGCAGTGACATTAAGCCATCAATTTATGCGTCAAATCTTGATTACTTATGTTTTACAGAATTTAGTTTTACCAAGCAAGGTGCTTTGTCGGTTGCCACCTTTATGCAGGGCTCTTCTTACATGAAAGGCACTTCAAAATCAAAATCAAAACTCATCAGGTAGATGTGCAGTCCCAAAAAAGAAGATGCACAACTGCACTAGCCCAGAATTTTTCTCTGTAAAACAGCTGCCCTCTGGCATAAGAATGAGCTCCTTAGTTTCTGCTTAAATCATGCACAGATCCCATAAACTTCCACAGAAGGGTTTAATTCAGACATATACTTTATTTTTTTCTACTGCTGTATTATTCTGGATTTAGTTTTATCTTGCATTATGTCACTTATTTCTTTCTGCTGTCTTCCTTCTTATTCATTTCCTATCCTACCTAACTAGTTTGCTGCTTTTTTTTTTTTTTAACCAAATAGTCTGCATTTTTTTTTAATTTTTAGCCCCAGAGCTCCATCTGTTCATACCATAAAACCCTGGGTCACGATTCGGACCATGGAGACACACTGACCCACACAGATACAGGACTGGT